TTTTCTTTATTTCTTTTACAAATTTATCTTCCCTTTTCTCTTTCTTTCTTTCTTTTTTCTTTCTTTCTTTCTGTTACCAATTTATCTTTTTCCGTTTCTCCCCCTTTTTCTTTCTTTCTTTCTTTCTTTTTACTAATTATCTTCCTTTGTCTTTTTCTTCCCTCATTTCATTCATTCACCCATTCATTCTTTCTATTACCAATTTATCCCGCCTTTCTTTCTTTCTTTCTTTCTTTCTTTCTTTCTTTCCTTCCTTCCTTCCTTCCTTCCTTCTTTCTTTCTTTCTTTCTTTCCTTCCTTCTTTCTTTCCTTCCTTCCTTCCTTCTTTCTTTCTTTCTTTCTTTCTTTCCTTCTTTCTTTCTTTCTTTCTTTCTGCCCTGCTTCCTTTCTTTGAATTCCAATGTATCACTCTCCTTTCTTTTTTCTCTCCGCTTTGTTTGTTTGTTTCTTTCTTTCTTTTACCAATTCATATGCCCTTTTATTTGTTTGTTTGTTGGAATACCGGCTCTCGTCCGATCACCGAAGTTAAGCAACGTCGAACACGGTCAATACCAAGATGGATGACCGTTTCTGTAGTGATATGTATATGACTGTCTAATTCGCATCGCTAAGCGAACTATGCATATTTACATATCACTAAATGCACATTTATACACCCAGCAGCTGGAATGCACAGTCGAATTTCACCATGTGCTCGTCAGTAGGAAACATGTCATTCTCTTCCGTGACAACGCAAGGCCGCATAAAGCAAAAATAGCACAGGAACAATTTTGAAATTCCCTTGGTCTGTTCTACTCCAGCTACGATATTCATATGGCCTTGCGCCAATATAATATTACCACCTATTATTTTCATATCAAATCTTGCAGAATTTTACCCTAAAGGTATCGAGGACCTGCCGGATAAGTGGTAAATATATCAGTGCAAATTATGGTGAATATTTTAATTGGATAAAATGTATATTGTATATTTAATTGAATAAAATATAAATTGTACTTTTCTTTTTTTGACAATAAAGTTGATGGTAATTCTTTATGATTCGCAGTAAAATCTTTCCAAATTTATTTTTATAGTAAAAATCATTTCTAATGCATTTTTATAATAAAAATCATTTCCAACGCATTTTTATAATAAAAATCATTTCCAACGCATTTTTATAATAAAAATTATTTCCAATTCATTTTTTATCGGAAAAATCATTTTTAAATGAATAAAGTGGATAAACAAAAAAGGAAATTATTTATTGCTAATGATTTATGACTATGCCTGATAAATTAAATCGATTGAATATTTACATACATACAAAATGTAAAATCATTTTGATGTCCTCCGCTACGCATTACATTTCTTTTATGTATCATAACATTATAATCGTGACAAAATATTTGCATTAATAAAAGTGTTTTCCCCAAAGCTCTATCGTTGGATCTACGTTGTTCATAATTATCAGAAATGAACTCCTTTCTGCCACCAGTTCGATATCTATGATGATGGCACAGATATTTACTCCTGTCTTCATAAAGTCCGATTGGTTCGATAAGGTCAAATTGGCAGCTGATCTAAAAAAAGACGAACAATTTATTGTTGTATGGGGCAAAGAATGGATTGTTAATTTTAACACCTCCAAAATGAAATTGCTTTCTTTTAATCGTCTGAAACAATACATTTTACCTTTCATCAGCATGGCTGACGCTAACCTCCAGGAGAGTGAATCATTCTAGGATAAACGTTTTCTTCTGACATGAAGTGGAAAGATTGCATTGAACCAATTTCTAGGTTTGCAGTTAACAAAATTGGTTCACTGTGTCGTGTTAGATAATTTTTATTGCCCGTATCTATCTTACATATTTATATGTCTACCATTCGTATTTGCTTTGCATATTGTTGCCACATTTAGTTTGGTATACCTGCTACATATTTAGAGATACTTGATAAAATCCAAAGAAGAATCTGCAATGTTATTCAGTATCTGTCTATATATCTGAGATGAGATATTATGGACACTATTTATATTATTCGCACTACTGTCCTCATCTTTTTCGGTATATTTATGACGACGTTTCGGCCGTTGTACGCTCCGGCCTTCTTCAGGTGGTTGGAATGTCGAACTGAACCCTTTATTTCGCTCACTGGGGTACACTGTTCTAGTTCCACGTGCCATGTCTAATGGATGTCAGTTATCAAGGACACATGGCACAGTGAATAAAGGCGTTGGTTAGATCCAGTAATAGGACACAAAGAGTGTGAGAGAACGTTTTAAGTGAGAATTTTATTTAAATATTTAATAAATATTTAAATAAAATTCTCACTTAAAATTTTGAAAATGTTAGCGTTGCGTCTTTGCACGTTCCGAGATCTAACACAACCGTCAATAATAGCAGATATTCAAAAAACATCTTTCGGTCGACATACAGGTATATCGTCTTCAAGTTTTTGATTTTATAAGGAAAAAAACACATGCCTGATGATGAATAGAAGACTATTCGTAAGTACTAGCATTTTAACATCAAATAAACTGAAAACTACAGACAAGTTTATCGATGAGGATCAACTCGCACTATGGATGAACAGTATTTTAATGCATATATTATGTTTTCTAGCGATGGATGTCGCCAATAATCGCATTAATACTTCTGATTGATTCTATGTGTGATTATTTCTTCGTATATATATATATATATATATATATATATATATATATATATATATATAACGGCAACAGACATTATGTGTCGATTAATTTTACAACTTTTTAAAATTACGAATAATCTTTCTCACGCAAGGAGGCAATCCCGTCAGAAATTGTCTTAAGTTCATTAGTTCTGAAGAAAAGTACTAAAATATGAACCAAGCTTTCGACATAATGAAGTCACCATAAAGGTTGGTAGAAACACTTGGTGAGTTTCGTAGAACTAGTGGGTGTTGTGACGTAGGCAAAGAGTTTTGTCTCATAAACAATGTGTGACGTGTGTTTGCTTTTATGTTTTTTTTAAATATACATTTGATGATGTGGGCTCTTAAGTTATGATTGTTGTAATATATAGATGTCTATTCCTGCTGTGTAAGTATTACTTCAAGTCTGTTTTTACTATTAAAGTTTGCTAATGTTTTCGTATTGTTTATTAGTAACTGTCTAATATTCCTATGAGCCTTATGCTGTTTACTAATGTTGTCTAATGGCATTCTGGCCCGAGATATGTGACAGGTTAGTGTGGTTGTAGTATATCCTATGTAAGATGTTTTGTGTTTTTTGTTTACAGAGAAACATTCTCTGAGTGGGAAAGTATAGTTCTACGCAACATTGGTCTTATTCTTGTCAGATTATTCTAATGTCGCTGTTGGAAGTGTTCAAGTGATGTCGTTTTTGTTCGCTTTTTACATTATTTTATTTACATTATTCGGACTATTGTCCTCATCTTTGTCGCTGTTTATCACAACGTTCCGGCCGCTGTATGCTCCGGCCTTCTTCAGGTGGTTGGAATGTCAAACTGAACCCTTTATTTCGCTCACTGGGGTAGACTCTTCTAGTTCCACGTACCATGTCTAACGGATGTTAGTTATCTCCTGTTAATTTCACTCTCCAAGTTATCCACCGCCTTAACCAGCTATTGAACTCACACACTTTGGGTCCTGTCACTAGATCTAACTAACGCCAGTCTATAGGGTCTGATGAAGGAATATCTTCTTTAAAACCGATGATTTAGCATTTCGTAGGGTCATTCTTACCTTTTTACTCTTAGGCAGTCAACATCTTGATGGTAATTTAGTACAACTGAAAGAGCATTTGCCTTTTGTAGAATGTCATTCGTCTTTTCGCTCAATGGAGTTTATTACCAGTGAAAACGTAGCTCGTTTCTTTCATTCAAATTTATTTAAGAACATGACTCAAGATCTAAGGTGAATATTTTAGGTACACTTAGCGTAACCTATTCTGTGTTCAGTCTCCTTATCTGCTATACTAAATTTCTTATAACTGATCCATATTTTAAGGTATATGAAATGTTTAGAATTTGTTAATTCCACTTTCTCAATGTTTATTATACATTCAGGATATTTGACGTCAGCACTTTCATTTCGATTCCAGTTTCTGTTTTGGAAATGTTTATCTAATGACCGACATCTTGAAACACTTGCTCAAAGCATGAAAAAATTTCGCGGCTTTTGACGTAATTCTGAGGTCATTTTTTTGTCCAAATACGCAAATTGGTTTTGCTCAAGCTAAGTCTCGATAAAACACTATATAAAATTCATTATTTTTTATCAAGAAAGGTTTAATGTGTTAAAATTATTTAACTTTTTAACAAGAAAGATATCAAGTTGATGTTAAAAAATTGTCGCAATGGATTTAGATGTTAATTTTTCTAGATGAATTGTTCGCCTATATTGCGTATGATTCATTAGAATTAGGTTACAATATAATTCGTATTTTAGATGAATACTACCTTAAGAAAATTGAGGTGTAGTAGAGTGGAGGCCATATAATAGATTCTAGGGGTCTTTATCATATATTCGAATGGAGGTGGGGTACACCAGACCCTTGCACCGGCCCTAGGGTCGAGTGATATTTTCAATAATCGATAATATTACAAAATGAATTATAGACTCATTAATTATAATTCCGCCACTCCAACGTTTTTTCCATGTGTGAAAAATGATAAAATTATCAACACTTAGATTTTTCTAATTTTCATGACGACCTCTTAGATCTCATATTTTATTCATTGATTAGTGGATTCATTTTCTACGGTTTAACAACCTTTTGTAGGTTATTTAAAGGCAGAAAATATTTTTAGATTGTAAGAATTTTTCTGAGATAATAATAGCTTCGTGATACAAGCCTTACTAATTAACCCATAGCTGGAGGGAGAAGAGGTGGATTCATTACTTTTCCAAAGCGGATTTGCGCGTAAGTGAATATAACAAACTCAACCGGAATTGGAACTCGGCTCTCCGATTCACAATTCAGAGCCATTATCCATTACAACTTCCGCACACCCAAGCTTACAGCCCCTAGTATTCCAAAGCGGTCACCCATCTAGGTCTTTTCCAAGCTGGATGTTGCTTAACTTCGGTGATCGTACAGGAACCGGTGCTTCAACATGATATGGCCGTAAGCCGTATTTTTTTTTAAGAAACTGACAAATTTATTAAAACTGGTGTTAAATGAATAATCACGCGCGAAATTCCGATTTAATTTTTCTTGTTTTATGTCTTGTCTCTCTACGAGTGCTGCTGGATACAATGAAAGCCAGTACTATCTTCTACTTGATCAGGTCACCAGTGACTAAAACGGCTGATGAGTAGGGAGATGCGACAACCGCCAGGATCAAAAAGAAGACCTGTCGAACAATTTTATAACGTCAACAACCATCTAAGCACAATAGATTAGACAGAGCTCCATAGCTATGTATACAGGCAGTGTGGTAATGATATGATATCTAAACTAAATCAACGGCCAACACGTAGAGTACCCCTTTCTCCAAGGCGAGGTTGTAGCTTGATCTGGAGAGGGATGGGATCTGCCAGCTCTATTTGATCACAGATCTCTACCTCTCAGACTTTCAATCCAGATATATAAAGGGAACTGATCAGGTGCTCGACTACCCGTTCATGGAATTGATAATGATGATCATGTTAATGATAACAATACCCGAATATTATTAACATATATCAACTAATTTTAGAAACATTTTTCCTATATTAGTTTTTAGTTACGAGGATATTTGTATATTTCCGAACACTCTACGTGTGCAACTAGTAGCATGTAACCAAATATTACTTGCTGCATGGTCCAGTCACCGGCGACTAAAACGGTCTACTCACCTTATCAGGTGGGGATGGTGGCTAGACACTCAGCAGGATTAAAAACAAGACCTGTAAAAGTGCAGATGAAGATTTTTGCTGGGTCAAAGGCTACCAAGCAAAATGTGGTAACCTGGGCATCATAGCTATGGATGTAGCCACTGTGGTAATGGCACAGCTTTTCTGGTAAGGAGGGTGGTTACACACTGAGGAGGTTTAAAAACAAATGGCGGATGGACTTTCGTGTAGGCTCAAAGGCTATCACGTAAGATGTGGTAAAATGGGCACCATAGCTATGGAGGTATCACTGAAGAGATTATCTAGCATACACTACCATATTACAGTTCAGTACACTTTTCTTTGTTTTTCACGAAATTTTTCTGTTTCTTTCAGATCGGAAATGAGACAAGAACAGTGCGGCTTGGTTAAAGACATGGGAACTAGGAACGCGATATTTATGCTGTGAATCATATTCGAAAAAACAATGAAGAAGGATACAAACCGCCTGTATACGAATAGAAAGTGAGCTCAGTAAATATACAAAAATAGAAAGGCGTGTAAGACAAGGCTGTGTCTTCTCACCGGACTTATTCAACATATACAGGAAGGCGATTCTGAGAGAATTGAAAGTCCTACTATGATTTATTATTGGCACACACAATCTTAACAGCATAAGATAAGCAGATGATACCACTTGAATGAAAAAAATCTTCCAAATTAAAACAAAATATCCATTTAGTCGTTAAAAAGTTTTAAGTAAATAATTTAAAAAAAATGTTTTTAAGTTTTATTGTTACTCCCAAAGAAAGTGTATTTTAATGAAACGTTAGTGACATAGCAACTCGTAACTTTAATAATAATATTTCATTATTTATTAGTTAGTCGCAAAGAGAAAATCAAATTTAAAAATTGAACGGAAAGGTTTTTTTTTGAGTGATTTGTTATTTTTACGGCTTATCAACCTTTTGTAGGTTATTTAAAGCCAAGACATTTTTGGATTGGAAAAATAATTCTTTTTTTTGCGACTGAATATTAACAATATTTTAAAGATAACAATGATTTTCAAATACATGCCTTAATATTTAAGGGGTGGGTAGGTAGGAAAGGGCAAAATCATTATATTTGATTAAGTTTACGTGTACTTAGCGTAGTAAATTACTATGGCCGTTGTGTTCACTTTCGCACAAATACATTTGGAAAAAGCATCTCCCCACACAGCTACTGATTAAAAAAAAAAAAACAAAGACAAAAAACACTGCGCTGACTGGCCCTTCTAGCCTTGGTTGGCAACCATCCTAGAAGACTAACTGTGAATTCCAAAAAAGGTTGGGTGTGGGCTGAAAACTCCACCGTGTTAAAAAAAGCCTACTTTCTACGGAAACATCAGTAGCCTTAGCGTAGCATAGGAGAAGGGCGCATCTCTTTCTTTTCATATGTAATTAAAGCAATGACTGAAGCATATACAAGTCGTCTTTTTAACAGCATGCTTTTTCAATACGGGTACTCTAACTAATTTTGATAAAATTACATCAAGAGGAAATAAAACTGTTTCTTCTTTAATTAATGATTTTGCAACAATCGGCTATTCTACAAGCATACTGGAATCAGACATTTTATATCTAGCTTACCTTGACAGAGTAAAGTATATAGAGGAAACCCTCAATTTACGACCGAGTTCCGTTCCTACGATGCATCTTAACTCGATTTTCCCTGTAAGCCAAAACGTAGCCACGATTTTCCGCCAATAAGTACCTCATTATCATCAACATCCTTCGATCTCCCTATGTTTGATCGGAACTCTACTGACAATCACTTGTCATACTGTTCGGTCCTGTATTGCTGTCCCCAGATCCCCAATCTCCAACCCTGAGTCCCGAGTTATGGTGTCTGGGAAAGTCAATTTTCGTTAGAAGGCACTTCCAGAATGATGCCATAGGAATAAGGATGAGACGATTTCCCTGTCCGCTCGATGGCAGTGGCCGGCAAACTGTAGTCGTTTTCGTTTGAATTTAAGAGAGATTGATTTCAGTTCGCGTTGCCTGGGATCTCCAACTGATGTTCTGAAGTTTTCTAAGTAGATTTATATATGTTCCATCCAGCCGTTTTTCAAGACGAGCAGGTAATGTCCAAGTTTCTGATCCATACAACAAGACTGGTTCAATTAATGTTCAAAAGGTTTCGACTTTTAAAGAGAATGGAAGGTTCGAACGCCAAATCTTGTAAAGTTTGTTACACGCATCCCATAATGCAATAATAAAGTAATAATCTAGGACATAACAATAAATTTTTATGGCATATGCTAAAATAATTACAGCTATAAAACACATCAAGGACATAAAGATAATAGATATAATGAAATGAAATTGTTTTAAGCTGCTTGTATATTTATTGCCAGTGATATCATTGGCTCTTGATCTTTGAGATGAAGAGTAAGATCACTACTCGGAGGCAGCAGCAAATCTAGGGAAGAAAAAAAAACCTATTCTTCCGTCGCGCCGTTTCCGTCGTATGTATGAGTTAAACGGCCTAAGTCGAAACAAAATTAATGAAGATTGCGTGTTAACCACGAATTGTCGTATTTCGGGACTGTCGTAACCCGAGGAGTTACTGTATTTAAGAAAGGGTTAGAAAATTTAATAATTCTAATTATGTTCGCCTATCATCCGGTTTACACTACCCCACTGTTTTTTGAACAGGAGTAGATGTTTATCACGGGTTTCCTCTTAAGGATTTGGTTTCCGGTTCCTTCTAAAGTCTTCTCATTCTCTTTCACTTCCAGTAGCCACTTGCATCGTAGTGGTACTATCGTGGTGGGGAATTGGTTTTAAAAAAAAACAACAACAACAAAAACGGACATAAACCACAGGAAAGAAGAAAAAAATTACATTACCGTAAAGTGATAATATCGAATAAGCAAATAAACTGACATCAGGGCTCATTCACGGACGAGAAATGTGCACAGTGACTAAAATCAGCAGCACTAGATCCGGATGCTACATAATAAATATGTAAATATCAAAATCTAATACCACTTGAAGCAACTGGCCACTCATCAGCTTATAGGGGGATGGCTGAAAGGACTTAATAATAATTAAATCGGATGAGAGAAGAACGACAAAGAACACGTAGTTAATAAATAAGAAGAATTTCAAGGTAGCTAAGGCTCAAAGTTTTTCTTTCTAAACAGATGTTTTTCATATAATACGCACGCTAATTTTCTGTTAGTTCAGAAACAAGTGCATCTTTCGATGTATTGTAAATTTTGAGTAGAATAAAGCGTCTTGTTTAGATATGTTTCTTGAGACAACCAAACCAGAGGATATTTTAAAGGTTTTTATACATTAACCAAAGATAAAAAGCTAAGTTGACAGTTTAAATGTTGAATCATTGGTGTACACTGACAACAAGCGTAAGATAAACATTGTCAGTCAAGGATTGAGCTTTGAAATTTTTTTTTTCTTTTTGCTTGCAGAGACGAAATTGAAAGGTTCGCCATGATTACAACTGTCGCTGTAAATAAGGCTCACGAAGTGAAGCGTTTGTGTTTGTACCGCGAAACGAAGATACAAAGGTGATACAGTGTCACCTCTTATTCAATTGACAGATCTGGAAGATAGAAGTGAAAGTGTCCCCCCCCCCACACGACACTCATTTTTAATGGATGCTAACTCCTTTATCTTTTGTGTAAATACAAGACACAGGAACAGAGGCGCCGACACATGCGCAGTTAAGCACCGATAAAGTAATATTTTCTTTTCGCCCGGCGACCGATTTTGTTAACAAACGACTTGAATGGACAAGGCAGAACCTGGTCGGAAGTACATTATCAAGGGAGACGTCAAAAATATACAGAAGAGAAAATCGCCTGTAGACTAAACATGGAGTTAAATATTTGCTATACACGATATTAAAAGATTAAAAATGTTTAAAGAGTTCTTGTTAGTCACGCCACATTACGAGTTTCTTAACTCAATAGGGTCCTAAGGACACTACATATATTGCATCTATATGATATGTCCAGGGTATGATAGTTAGAAGGAATTCCCCCTTCTTTGAATTGGATTTGAATTTATAGTTTTAGTTCTCCTAGACTGGCTTCCAAGCACGGCTAGAGATTCCAGCTTGTCGGACTATTTAACTCATTACTGGGACAAGCAGTAGATTCATAGCTTTCCCAGGTGTAATTGTGTGAAAGCGAATGTAACGTAACGAATTCGAATTCGAACTCTGTTCTCCGACTTCTCTTTCCGAATCGCTAACCACGACTGAGCTAAAGTACGCAGAATGAAGCCGTTTGGCACAGATTGACCTT